GTCTTGATTTTTTTGAAAATTTAACTTTTACCTATCCTAATGTCATTATTGCTGAATTTATTTCGTAGACGGGTAAAGATGAGGTGGTTCTTAGGCGCACTATCGGCTTAAAAAAGGAAGATTATTCCTTAGATAAAAAAACTGCGACGTATGTTGTATTTATTTAACGTATGAATTGCTTTATCTTTTGTAAAATTAATACTATGCTTCGCTATAGGAAAAATGATGTAATGAATTTACTTGAAAGTGCCGGATTTTCTCGTTCCAATCCTTATTACATTGTCCCACAAGGAAGGGTAAGGGATGATTTGTAGATATGATACGTTCTGCATCATTGAAAGCTATATTTCCAATTCCTATTTTTTATGTGACGTATATATTGTGGTAATTTCATAAAATACTTAGATCACTGCTTTGACGAATGCTAAAGATCCAGAACGATTGCAATTATTAAAAGAAGTTGCTGGCACAAGGGTATATGAACAACGGAGACAAGAGAGCATGAAAATCATCGAAGAAACAGGTTATTCCTTTATTATCCGTCAATGTGAACAAATTAGATAAGTTTATTAAAACATCTATTCGCTCCCTTAAAGATTCTAAAAGATCAAAGATCGAAGAACTTCTCACTTACATTGAAGAACGTCTTGAAGAACTTGAAGAAGAAAAAGAGGAACTGAAAAATTTTCAAGAAATGGATCGTGAAAGACGGTGCTTGGAATATTCAATATTTCATCGTGAACAGACTGATATACTTCGTCAGTTGGCCGAGGTTTGTATTGCATTTGCATTGACACAATATATATAATAGTTTCCTAAATTTAATATTTTTAATATGACGTCCAAAATTGATAGATGGATGAACAACGGGAAAAAGGTGTCCATGGTTCGAATCAACAAAACATGGAATTCAATGATCTTGAGCAAGAGATTACAGTGAGCTACAGTATTATTTCTCATTAAAGCTACGTAACATTAGATTTATATAAACTTTATCATCGTTCAGAACATTGAGCGTGAAATGGCAGAACTCCAAGAAAAAATTGAACTCTTGAGAGTGGAAAAGAGGGAGCTTGATGAAGACATGCAAGAACAGATTAAAGTCCACGCACAAATTGAGTTGGCAATTAAAGATATGGAAGACACCGCACAACAAAATAAAGAAACAAAAGTTTGTGATTTATATTACATTGATTTAAGTCTCTGAACAGTCATAAATAATAATCGCAAATTCCAAATCAATAAATAGAGAAGAAGAGAGTTGGAATTACGAAATATAAAAATGAATATAGATCAAAAAGAAGCAGAGCTGGATAGCATAATACCAATTTATGAAAAGGAGGTTACTGAAGAAGCTACAATAAAGGAAAGGTGTTGTATTAAAAGACAGCAGCTATTTGTTATTTTTCCACTTATGTTAATAATGTCCAATGTAGATTGGATGAATCTGAATTGCACCGTCAAGCGCTCTACTCTAAACAAGGGCGTAGTTCACAGTTTCGTTCGAAAGCGGAAAGGGATAAGTGGTTAAGAAAAGAAATAAAAGAGATCGATGACACAATGATTGCACAAAAACAACAGGTATAATAGAATTGATTGAAATCATTTGATTTTATGATAATTTTTTACCTTTACGCTATGCAATTTTTTTCTCAGGCTGATGAGCTAGAAAGCCAAATACGAGATATTTCGGAAAGTATAGACAGAGTGAATAATGAAATATACGATACAAGGAATAAGCTAGAACAGCGAAAAACGACTATTGAAGAATTGGGCAATGAATACAATGACTTAAAGTCTCAACGAGATAAATTAATAGATCAACGAAAGTTTGTATTTTTTTTTTTTGATTTATAAAGTTAATCGTTGTAACCTTTGTTATATTGGTATGGATTATGTTCGTGTATAAATAGGGAACTATGGAAAGAAGATGCGCAATTAGAGACAAAATTGGTCAATGCACGAGAGCAATGGAAAAAATATGAGAGAGCCTTAGCTAGTTCCATGGATAAGGTATTTTTAGTTTCGTCATTTGAATGTTTATTTAATAATATTAAAGTTGATCTGATTAATTTATATTAAAGAAAACCAACAATGGACTGAATTCTGTGAAATGTATCACCGAACAGTTTAGGATTGAAGGAGTTTATGGGCCACTTTACGAATTGTTTGAATGCACAAATAATTCTATGTGGACAGCAGTAGAAGTCACTGCTGGACAAAGGTTTGAAATTATCCGTGATTTTACCTTCGGAAATGTATTAATTTTCCCATATTTTGATTATTTTATATTATTACCACATTATTGTAGTTTGTTCCATGTAGTTGTTGATACAGATGACACAGCTACTAGAATTTTAGATGCTCTCAATCGTGAACAAAATGGGCGTGTAACCTTTGTGCCGTTAAATCGGTTGAGAACTAAGAATTATGATTACCCTGAGTCTGAAGAGTTTTTACCCATGGTCAATGTTGTCGAATTTGATAAAACGTATACAAAAGCAATAGTACAAGTAATAAACAAAAATTCCTTAGGATTATATTAGATTCTGATAACCACTTTAATATTATTAAATATTCTTTTCTCTACGGTAAATGAATTGCGAATAAAAATATTCGATCAGGTGTTTGGTCGTACTATAATTTGCAATGACTTAGAAACGGCATCTAAGTTATCTCGAGAATACGATTTGAATGGTATTACATTGGATGGTTTGTGTAGTTTTGGTTTAAATTATAATGTGACATAATTACCATTCTTATTATTATTATATATTCAAATACTTACCGGATAGATTTCATTTAGGTGATCAAGTTGACAGAAAAGGTGTGCTTACCGGTGGATATCATGACGTTCGTCGCAGGAGGCTAGAAGCAGCAACAAATATGAAAAAATGGAGAAAAGAATACACAGACCTGGAACAGCGATCCAGAGTAGTGAAAAGCGAAATAACTAATATCCTTTTTGAATGAAATCAATTTTACATTATTATAAATCACTTGTTATCTTTCACTTATTTTATTGCTATACGTCTAGATCAACAAATCACACAAAAATTGAATGCAATACAGAATGTTGAGGCTAAAAGACGACAAGCTCAAGATAGTCGTGATCCTCTTATGTTCGAATTGAATTCAAAAATAAAGGAGGAGGCAAATTTGAAAGAGTCAAAAAGCAACAAAGTAACTTTTGACTTAAAAATTTCAATATTTTAATGCATTTGCAAGCAGTCGCTAATATAAATTTCAACAGGAAAAATCATTGTTGAATATTCAAAGCAGTATTAAGATGTTAAATGCACAAAAGCAAGCTCACCAAGCGGAAATGAGTACTGAACTGGCCCAAAATCTAACTCTACAAGAGCAACAGCGACTTGAAAGGTTGAATGTTGAAGTTGAGCAGTTGAGTGAAAAATTATACAAGCTGTCGACATCAAGATCTGAGGTTCGTAAAGGATCGTATTCATTTATGATAATTTCATTCTTGTCTTATACCGATTTTGCGAACTCAGCTTGAGGGACGGAAAAATGTATTGGAGAATGAATTGGATGCGAATTTGAAAAGGCGCTACGAAGAGTTATTAATTCAAATTGATAGTCTAACTACAAGCGAAGATGATCAAATCCGCAATAACAAAAATGAAATCGAGGAACTCATTAACGAAATGTCTAATCGGTCGAAAGGTAAATGGTTTTTTTGGTCCAATGACTACTATATTTCCGCCTATGAGTGTTATTTCGAATTTTGGCCCGAATTAACTTAATTTAAGCCAAAATTCGAAATTACACACCTTCGCGTGATTACGCGAAAATACGGTATAGCAATAAAATTTAATTAACATTCTGAATATATTATATAGAAATCGAGATAGAATTGCAAGACCTCTCGACGGAACTAAGTCAGAAGACTTCTAAATCCGAAGCATTAAAAGTTAGTTTTCTCTCTGTGTATCTGTAAATCAAATGTTGTACAGGTTTTTTTACTTAGTTAACTTTTGTTAGACTGAACAAAGCAATCGGCAGCAAAAGTTGGAGCGGCAGCAAAAGAATGTCGACAAATTTCTTTCAAAAAGGAAATTATTGTTACAGAAGAAGGATGAATGCACTAAAAATATTCGTGAACTTGGTGCACTACCAGAAGAGGCGTTTGAAAAGTATAAAAATACAGACCCTACAAAGGTGCGTTTAAATTCGTAATTTAGAATGAATGATACAATGTTGACTTTATTTCCGTTTCTTTTTTTTTTTTTTTTTAGCTTCTGAAACAATTGCATAAAGTAAATGAGGGTTTGAAAAAGTACAGTCATGTTAACAAGAAAGCATTTGAGCAATATAACAATTTCACCAAGCAGAGAGACACACTTACGAAAAGAAAGGACGAATTAGATCAATCAAAGAGGGTAGTTACTATATTACATACCTATTTGTCATATATTAGCCATTAATCCCTTTTTCAATTAGGCTATAAATGATCTAATAACCGTATTAGATCAGCGAAAGGATGAAGCAATTGAACGTACTTTCAAACAGGTAGCAAAGTATTTTGCTGAAATATTTGAAAAACTGGTACCTGCGGGACGAGGGCAATTAATAATGCAAAAAAGAAATGCCAAGGTAGCGTATTTATTTGTATTTATATACATATATATAGATTATACGGATATTGTTAAGCTCTCATTGAATTTTATATGCAAATATTTGGGTGTCACCAAGTGAAAACTAGGAAGTCTAAAAGAGAAATGCGGGTTTTTAACCTATCTGATTAGAATATTTAATATTGTATTTTATTTATTTATTGACAATATATATTTATCAAATTTGTCGCTCAGGAACAAATGGAAGATGTCGATGAACGGGAAGATCGTGAAGGTGGATCTGTAGATAGCTATACTGGTGTTGCAATCAAGGTACAATACTGACTCACCTATCAAACTAAACTTCCTGTATATAAATTCTGTCTATGCATCATTTTTGCCATTCAAGGTCTCGTTTAACAGTAAAACAGACGAAGGCCTTCGTATGCAACAACTGTCTGGTGGACAAAAATCTTTGGTTGCACTCACCCTAATATTTGCAATACAACGATGCGATCCAGCGCCTTTTTATTTATTTGATGAGATTGATGCTGCGCTTGACGCACAATATCGTACTGCTGTTGCATGTATGTAATTATTACTATCTATATGTCATTGATTTTATTTCATCAAAAAAATTTTTACGATCATTCCCTAATTGATCGTCTCTACCTGTTATAACACAAATGAATAAGAATTACTTATAATAGATAATCCGAGATGTAAATTATCAACTCTTACCTGTGTGATAAAATTAAGCGCATCCTCCTTAGTTATAACACTAATACGTGAAACTTTATTTGAAAATGTTACGCCATAAAATTTATCGGCATTTGTAAGCATTTCTGGGCGGAAAGTTGTAGTAATAAATTGCCCATTTTCACTCAATTCATGGATCATCGCTATTGAAGAAAAAATTTGTTTTTAGATGAAATAAAATCAATGACATATAGATAGTAATAATTACATACATGCAACAGCAGTACGATATTGTGCGTCAAGCGCAGCATCAATCTCATCAAATAAATAAAAAGGCGCTGGATCGCATCGTTGTATTGCAAATATTAGGGTGAGTGCAACCAAAGATTTTTGTCCACCAGACAGTTGTTGCATACGAAGGCCTTCGTCTGTTTTACTGTTAAACGAGACCTTGAATGGCAAAAATGATGCATAGACAGAATTTATATACAGGAAGTTTAGTTTGATAGGTGAGTCAGTATTGTACCTTGATTGCAACACCAGTATAGCTATCTACAGATCCACCTTCACGATCTTCCCGTTCATCGACATCTTCCATTTGTTCCTGAGCGACAAATTTGATAAATATATATTGTCAATAAATAAATAAAATACAATATTAAATATTCTAATCAGATAGGTTAAAAACCCGCATTTCTCTTTTAGACTTCCTAGTTTTCACTTGGTGACACCCAAATATTTGCATATAAAATTCAATGAGAGCTTAACAATATCCGTATAATCTATATATATGTATATAAATACAAATAAATACGCTACCTTGGCATTTCTTTTTTGCATTATTAATTGCCCTCGTCCCGCAGGTACCAGTTTTTCAAATATTTCAGCAAAATACTTTGCTACCTGTTTGAAAGTACGTTCAATTGCTTCATCCTTTCGCTGATCTAATACGGTTATTAGATCATTTATAGCCTAATTGAAAAAGGGATTAATGGCTAATATATGACAAATAGGTATGTAATATAGTAACTACCCTCTTTGATTGATCTAATTCGTCCTTTCTTTTCGTAAGTGTGTCTCTCTGCTTGGTGAAATTGTTATATTGCTCAAATGCTTTCTTGTTAACATGACTGTACTTTTTCAAACCCTCATTTACTTTATGCAATTGTTTCAGAAGCTAAAAAAAAAAAAAAAAAGAAACGGAAATAAAGTCAACATTGTATCATTCATTCTAAATTACGAATTTAAACGCACCTTTGTAGGGTCTGTATTTTTATACTTTTCAAACGCCTCTTCTGGTAGTGCACCAAGTTCACGAATATTTTTAGTGCATTCATCCTTCTTCTGTAACAATAATTTCCTTTTTGAAAGAAATTTGTCGACATTCTTTTGCTGCCGCTCCAACTTTTGCTGCCGATTGCTTTGTTCAGTCTAACAAAAGTTAACTAAGTAAAAAAACCTGTACAACATTTGATTTACAGATACACAGAGAGAAAACTAACTTTTAATGCTTCGGATTTAGAAGTCTTCTGACTTAGTTCCGTCGAGAGGTCTTGCAATTCTATCTCGATTTCTATATAATATATTCAGAATGTTAATTAAATTTTATTGCTATACCGTATTTTCGCGTAATCACGCGAAGGTGTGTAATTTCGAATTTTGGCTTAAATTAAGTTAATTCGGGCCAAAATTCGAAATAACACTCATAGGCGGAAATATAGTAGTCATTGGACCAAAAAAACCATTTACCTTTCGACCGATTAGACATTTCGTTAATGAGTTCCTCGATTTCATTTTTGTTATTGCGGATTTGATCATCTTCGCTTGTAGTTAGACTATCAATTTGAATTAATAACTCTTCGTAGCGCCTTTTCAAATTCGCATCCAATTCATTCTCCAATACATTTTTCCGTCCCTCAAGCTGAGTTCGCAAAATCGGTATAAGACAAGAATGAAATTATCATAAATGAATACGATCCTTTACGAACCTCAGATCTTGATGTCGACAGCTTGTATAATTTTTCACTCAACTGCTCAACTTCAACATTCAACCTTTCAAGTCGCTGTTGCTCTTGTAGAGTTAGATTTTGGGCCAGTTCAGTACTCATTTCCGCTTGGTGAGCTTGCTTTTGTGCATTTAACATCTTAATACTGCTTTGAATATTCAACAATGATTTTTCCTGTTGAAATTTATATTAGCGACTGCTTGCAAATGCATTAAAATATTGAAATTTTTAAGTCAAAAGTTACTTTGTTGCTTTTTGACTCTTTCAAATTTGCCTCCTCCTTTATTTTTGAATTCAATTCGAACATAAGAGGATCACGACTATCTTGAGCTTGTCGTCTTTTAGCCTCAACATTCTGTATTGCATTCAATTTTTGTGTGATTTGTTGATCTAGACGTATAGCAATAAAATAAGTGAAAGATAACAAGTGATTTATAATAATGTAAAATTGATTTCATTCAAAAAGGATATTAGTTATTTCGCTTTTCACTACTCTGGATCGCTGTTCCAGGTCTGTGTATTCTTTTCTCCATTTTTTCATATTTGTTGCTGCTTCTAGCCTCCTGCGACGAACGTCATGATATCCACCGGTAAGCACACCTTTTCTGTCAACTTGATCACCTAAATGAAATCTATCCGGTAAGTATTTGAATATATAATAATAATAAGAATGGTAATTATGTCACATTATAATTTAAACCAAAACTACACAAACCATCCAATGTAATACCATTCAAATCGTATTCTCGAGATAACTTAGATGCCGTTTCTAAGTCATTGCAAATTATAGTACGACCAAACACCTGATCGAATATTTTTATTCGCAATTCATTTACCGTAGAGAAAAGAATATTTAATAATATTAAAGTGGTTATCAGAATCTAATATAATCCTAAGGAATTTTTGTTTATTACTTGTACTATTGCTTTTGTATACGTTTTATCAAATTCGACAACATTGACCATGGGTAAAAACTCTTCAGACTCAGGGTAATCATAATTCTTAGTTCTCAACCGATTTAACGGCACAAAGGTTACACGCCCATTTTGTTCACGATTGAGAGCATCTAAAATTCTAGTAGCTGTGTCATCTGTATCAACAACTACATGGAACAAACTACAATAATGTGGTAATAATATAAAATAATCAAAATATGGGAAAATTAATACATTTCCGAAGGTAAAATCACGGATAATTTCAAACCTTTGTCCAGCAGTGACTTCTACTGCTGTCCACATAGAATTATTTGTGCATTCAAACAATTCGTAAAGTGGCCCATAAACTCCTTCAATCCTAAACTGTTCGGTGATACATTTCACAGAATTCAGTCCATTGTTGGTTTTCTTTAATATAAATTAATCAGATCAACTTTAATATTATTAAATAAACATTCAAATGACGAAACTAAAAATACCTTATCCATGGAACTAGCTAAGGCTCTCTCATATTTTTTCCATTGCTCTCGTGCATTGACCAATTTTGTCTCTAATTGCGCATCTTCTTTCCATAGTTCCCTATTTATACACGAACATAATCCATACCAATATAACAAAGGTTACAACGATTAACTTTATAAATCAAAAAAAAAAAATACAAACTTTCGTTGATCTATTAATTTATCTCGTTGAGACTTTAAGTCATTGTATTCATTGCCCAATTCTTCAATAGTCGTTTTTCGCTGTTCTAGCTTATTCCTTGTATCGTATATTTCATTATTCACTCTGTCTATACTTTCCGAAATATCTCGTATTTGGCTTTCTAGCTCATCAGCCTGAGAAAAAAATTGCATAGCGTAAAGGTAAAAAATTATCATAAAATCAAATGATTTCAATCAATTCTATTATACCTGTTGTTTTTGTGCAATCATTGTGTCATCGATCTCTTTTATTTCTTTTCTTAACCACTTATCCCTTTCCGCTTTCGAACGAAACTGTGAACTACGCCCTTGTTTAGAGTAGAGCGCTTGACGGTGCAATTCAGATTCATCCAATCTACATTGGACATTATTAACATAAGTGGAAAAATAACAAATAGCTGCTGTCTTTTAATACAACACCTTTCCTTTATTGTAGCTTCTTCAGTAACCTCCTTTTCATAAATTGGTATTATGCTATCCAGCTCTGCTTCTTTTTGATCTATATTCATTTTTATATTTCGTAATTCCAACTCTCTTCTTCTCTATTTATTGATTTGGAATTTGCGATTATTATTTATGACTGTTCAGAGACTTAAATCAATGTAATATAAATCACAAACTTTTGTTTCTTTATTTTGTTGTGCGGTGTCTTCCATATCTTTAATTGCCAACTCAATTTGTGCGTGGACTTTAATCTGTTCTTGCATGTCTTCATCAAGCTCCCTCTTTTCCACTCTCAAGAGTTCAATTTTTTCTTGGAGTTCTGCCATTTCACGCTCAATGTTCTGAACGATGATAAAGTTTATATAAATCTAATGTTACGTAGCTTTAATGAGAAATAATACTGTAGCTCACTGTAATCTCTTGCTCAAGATCATTGAATTCCATGTTTTGTTGATTCGAACCATGGACACCTTTTTCCCGTTGTTCATCCATCTATCAATTTTGGACGTCATATTAAAAATATTAAATTTAGGAAACTATTATATATATTGTGTCAATGCAAATGCAATACAAACCTCGGCCAACTGACGAAGTATATCAGTCTGTTCACGATGAAATATTGAATATTCCAAGCACCGTCTTTCACGATCCATTTCTTGAAAATTTTTCAGTTCCTCTTTTTCTTCTTCAAGTTCTTCAAGACGTTCTTCAATGTAAGTGAGAAGTTCTTCGATCTTTGATCTTTTAGAATCTTTAAGGGAGCGAATAGATGTTTTAATAAACTTATCTAATTTGTTCACATTGACGGATAATAAAGGAATAACCTGTTTCTTCGATGATTTTCATGCTCTCTTGTCTCCGTTGTTCATATACCCTTGTGCCAGCAACTTCTTTTAATAATTGCAATCGTTCTGGATCTTTAGCATTCGTCAAAGCAGTGATCTAAGTATTTTATGAAATTACCACAATATATACGTCACATAAAAAATAGGAATTGGAAATATAGCTTTCAATGATGCAGAACGTATCATATCTACAAATCATCCCTTACCCTTCCTTGTGGGACAATGTAATAAGGATTGGAACGAGAAAATCCGGCACTTTCAAGTAAATTCATTACATCATTTTTCCTATAGCGAAGCATAGTATTAATTTTACAAAAGATAAAGCAATTCATACGTTAAATAAATACAACATACGTCGCAGTTTTTTTATCTAAGGAATAATCTTCCTTTTTTAAGCCGATAGTGCGCCTAAGAACCACCTCATCTTTACCCGTCTACGAAATAAATTCAGCAATAATGACATTAGGATAGGTAAAAGTTAAATTTTCAAAAAAATCAAGAC